CTATGTTGCCGAAACGTGTTGTGAAGTAACAGATTACAACTGACAGGAATGCTGACAGTTATGACAGACTATGGAAAATTTAGACCAACTTCGACACTCTCAATGATGCATACGAAAAATATTATAACCCTTCCAAACATCTGGCCATAGACGAGATAATTGTTAAATTCAAAGGCAGGGTGGTTTTTAGGCAGTACATTCCTAAGAAACACAAACGTGTTGGAATCAAAATCTTCTAAATTTGTGACGCCGCTGGATATACTTATGACATGAAGGTTTACCTATGAAAAGACAGGACACGTGCCAACCAAGACGTGACAGCAACACACGCTACAGTTAGGGACCTATGCAGATGTATCGAGGGCGTAGGTCACAAACTGCACATGGACAATTTCTTTTCGTCACCAGACTTCTTTGACAGAATGATGACAAAGGACATAACGTGTTGTGGGACAGTCAGACCTAATCGGAAGGGCTTGCCTGACAATTTTCGACGAAGACAATTTCGACTGAAGAAAGGTGACATTCCTGTTTGGGTGAGACGGAACTTGACAGCACTAGTTTGGAAGGACAAACAAGACGTTTACATACTGACAAACATGCACTGTCCTCCAGCAGAAGGCAGTTTCTGTGATGAGCATGGAAATGCCATCAAGCCAGAAATTGTTGTTGACTACAAAATGAACATTGGTTATGTCGACAAAGCGGACAGAATGGCAAACAGTTATAGCATCAGTCGTCGGACCTGGAAATGGACAAATAAACTATTTTTCCGTCTCCTGGATCTGATGATTCTGAACAGTTTCATCTTCTTGTCATCCTGTGCTGCAAAACTGTCACACAGAGAATTTCGTCTAGCCCTTGTGCGCAGCATGCTACAAGGGGTCCACCTCACACTCAATGGATCATGGGTCGACCTCCTGCTGTGTCATCAGCGATATCTCGATTAGAGGAGGCCACTCAACATCACTGGCCGACTTCCTCTAATAAGAGACTGAGGTGTTGTGTGTGCTCTTTGCGTGGGAAACGTAGTTACATCCAGAGAAAGTGCATGAAGTGCAACTTCAGACTCTGCATTTCCAGATGTTTCCAACAGTACCACACGAAGGCAACATTCAGTTAGATGATGCACGAGGCAAGACTGTCTACTTATAAAGCTGGTACCAAAAAAATAATGTAAGTAGAACAAGAATTTCTATTCTAAAATTACATTTTAAAACACTGGGCGCACATGTGGAGTGCGTGTACCCATACGGTGTAACACGGCCACTCGGCTGCACTTTAAAGGTCTCCATATGGTGTCGCTAGGCTCATAAAGGCTTTAAGAGACGGGCCACTTAAATTCCCGTAATGGCAGCAGGCCAGAGTTTATTTAACTGTCCACCATTGTAGAGTATTAAAATTTACAAGCATGTTACTGAAAATACTGTGATTTCTACAGTTTTTGTGATAAACGAACGAAATAAACGCTGCTTTTATCTATAAAGAATATAGAATCATATATTGTAATTTACAGATTTTAAAGTCTGTAAAAATTGTTACACTGATTCCAAAAAAAAAAAAAAAGTTTCCGAATTTTGAGCATCTGTCCACAAATATGCACACAGTTTCTGCACAAAACGTTTCTGCAGTATAAATGCATGCTGCTGACATCCTGTCTTACAATATCTTATCTGGCAAAAGGGGAGGAAGTTCATGTTTGTACTGCACATTCTCCAGTCACATCGGAACCTTTCTGTATGCAGGAGTGTGGTTGAAGTCTTATCGTACTATGTCCTTCAGAAACTCTGACTCTGTATATCTCGGACTAGCCTCACAGAGCTCTCAGAGGTGTTGTTCTTGGAATATCGCCGCATGTCCCCCTTCCTTCCATGCCACTTTCAGTCATCTGTACTGCATTCTGAATCGGTGTCATTTATCAGCGGACTATCAATTTTGGCTTCTTCCATGCGAAATGAGGCCATGGTGGATAGTTGAAATTGCGATGTTTTATAAGCATTACGATTAGAGGAGGCCACTCGACATCACTGGCTGACTTCCTCTAATATGAGACTGAGGTGTCGTGTGTGCTCTTTGCGTGGGAAATGCAGTTACATCCATAAAAAGTGCATGAATTGCAACATCAGACTCTGCATTCAGTTAGATGATGCAGGAGGGAAGACTGTCTACTTATAAAGTGGGTGCCCAAAAATAATGTAAGTAGAACAAGAATTTCTATCTTAAAATTACATTTTAAAACACTGTGCGCACGCATGGACTGCGCATACCCATACGGTGTCGCACTGCCACTCGGCTACACTTTAAAGGTCTCCATACGGTGTCGCTAGGCTCTTAAAGGTTAATGTATGTCATACAAAACTCATTAATGACATTGTGTTTGAACTATTGAATTTTTAATTAATAGATTTGTATAAAACTGTACAAATTGTAAAAGATTTGCCATTGCTCTTACTACTAAAATTAACTTAATTTATTACATTGTATACGTTTATCAGTATTGTATTACAAATGTATATGCTGTTGGATGACAACTGTAATTCTTAGTTGTGACTGTAAATAGGACGATCTCCACATCTGCATGAGACTGTTCTCTCAACAGGATTTATGGAAGGTGAATAAATGAAATGAAAGTAGATGCTGGAAATCCTTCCTGTTCTTGTACATGTTTTCTTTACCTTCCATACAATATTCACATACAATCATTAATAATAATGCCAAGAAAAATTAAAGTTAACGTTAACAGTATAATAAATTCAAATAAAGACTAACATACAGTGATATAAAGATTGTGTATATCTAAAATAAGTAACTAAAAACTGGAACGCAGACTAACAATCTTGTCTTCTTTTAACTGTAAAGTAAGACAGTTACTTGTACCTTAAAAAGATTTATAACAGAAATATTCCTGTATTGAACAGAATGTATATGTAAAATTTGTTTTAATTGTTCCTCAAAACTATTAGCAGCCACTACACAGGAGGAAGAAGAGGACAACCACGGAATGCATCCGGAAGTTGAGCCTGGGAGAAACTTCTGGGAAGCAGAGGAACAGTAAGGAAAATCTTATGGGATCTACGGTCTGAAAAGCATGAAACAAATACCCAAGGCTTCCAGCAGGACGTGGTGAATCATGAACTGGACACTGTGGAGGGGTCGACCACCTCAAAACGAAAAAAATGGAATAGTGCATGGTGGGGGAACTGGTAACACAGAAGCACCGGCCTCCCCAGCTAGAACGAGTGAATGTGCTATGGATAAATGTGAGGGATGATTGTGATACAACCGGATCTTCCGGCACGTTAGCAGCAACACCCCCTTCCCCCCACAGTAACGTAACAGCACTTCCCAGAGTGACATAACAGGGGACACCGCGGTTACTACATGACAACAGGGAACAATATAAGAGGCCAGCTGAGTGGCATGCGAGACAGTGTCGACTGTGATGCCAGACAGAAGAGAGTTGAAATGTAGCAGTCACCAAAGCCAGTTAGTATTCGGAGCATTTGAGTCAGTGGAAGTGTAGCAGTTGCCGAGTTCAGTTGTAGCAATTGTGGAATACAAAGCCAGATGGAAGACAGTCAAAGTCCAGCAGCTATGAGTTGAGTTGTATCGAGTGAATGGCAGTGGCTACAGAAGCAGAAGTAACTGTGATACTGCAGATGGCAGTAATTGTGAAATTGTGAACTGTGTAAATGTAAGGGCGAGTGTGGAATAAATTTGCTAAATCCAGGACGGCGTGAAGTTATTTGTCGCGTAACACATACCCAACACGTGACGATAAGTTGTGGTAGATTATTACAAACCTTTATTCATAAACAATACCGAACCCATGACGATATGTTGTGGTAGATTATTATAAAACTTATTTATAAACAATAAACTCCCTTTTGGTATTTACTCAAATTTACAAGAGGGTGATGGAGATTATTTTGCTGTCTGGTATTTATTCTATGAATCTCTGAATTTACTATGAATTTGTTCTGTTTGTTATCACAAAGGGCGTAAGAGATAGTATGTACTGAGATGCCAGAGGCAAGATTTCTAATTCTCTAAATAAATTTCTGCACGAATCCCTCCTTCTGCATCCCAACATAATTCTAATTATATTATCTTGCATTCTAAATTTTTATACTCTGGGGTCAGTTACCCCAAAAGGGTAAACCATAATTTATAAGAGAATTAAAATAAGAGTGATAAACCATTTGTAAGGTATTAATGGACATGTATGGGATCTAGGTGGGCTCTGTTTGTGACTTAATGGCCTATGGGCTTGTCAATTGTGCTGAAGATCTACATCTGCAGAAAGAGAAATCTACCTCTCATATGCTGCACTGGCTGAATGACTTGCGACAGGTTTTCAAATAACCTCTCTGCATAAAATGCTACCATATCTCATCTCCATGGGGAAACATTAGTATGACCGCTATCAACCACCACACCGCACAGAACAAGAAAAACCCTGACAATACTACAAGGTTTGCGAAATTAATATTTAGATATACACCTAAAACACACTGGTCTCTCAAATCAGCTTAAATATAAGACACAAGACATTTCAGTTTGGATATAGTTTAGTGACCCCTGATCAAGAGGAAGAGTATACTGAACCACAGATCAGAGAAGAGACAGTTATTTTTCTCTGAGAAGGAACATCAGAAGCAGTATAATAATTAATGATGAATAATGCAGCTATCTATGTATGACAATTTTATCACTTTTAGTCTCTATGAAAGTTCTTAGTTAATATTCAATTTAGATTTCTAAATCAATGATGAAGAATAATATAATNTCACAAAAATTTAAAAAACTGAATTTCCTTGCTGTATTTGGGAATCATTCATTTCATGTCATATGATACATATGAAGACTACAGTTTCTAGGCTGACACCATACAGTCTGATAAATAGGTACAACATACAGATGAACAGGAACACCTGCATTTGACATAGCTGTCCTTTTGTGGAACCCTGTGGAGTGACCTATGCCCTTCTCTTCCTTCAGTTTCTTATCCCCTTTTCAGCTGGTGATGCACAGGTACTCTTGTAACTGGTGCAATTGCCCTTTCATGGAACCCTATGATCTGACCTACCAGGAACTCAAACTTCTCCTGAAACCATGTACCACCAACTGTAGCCGTACCACTGACACCACCAGCTTTATTTGTAATCAAAATTTCTTTTTATAGTAATTACACATAGGATGTAGTAAAGAACATTCAAGGGTGACTTAGCCCGATTCTTCGTTTCAAAAACAGGGTCTGCTTCACTGCTACAAAGACCAGGCAGGAAGCACACCACAGAGTTTCCTGGAAATTCAGTTTGAGAGTTGGCTGGTGGGATCCTTTGGTAAAGTTACACTTGACAGATTTTGAACCCCGTAAGTCAAAAGTGGGAAGGCCAGCAACTGACCCTACTGGTATAATTTTTCAAGCAGCTTTCAAAAACGACGTTAGCACTTTAAGGTCCAAAGTCCCAAACTAAAGCTAGGTGATTGGAGCAGTGAGAATTATGGTTAACTCCCTAAATTTGAATTGTTCCAATCAGCCGTAATTAGAGTAGTAACTTGGAGGTGGAGTTGAAGCTGTGAAGATTTCTTCTTTCAAAGCAGAGTCAGTCTGCTAAAGGAGTCTCTGAACAACTCTACAAGTGTACAGCCGAAAAATTAGCATCACTGGCAGCTTGATTCAAAAGTCAAAGTTAAAATAAAATTATGTTTAAGTGTGTTACTGGAACATTCTCTGAATAACTCTTCAAACTAATTAGATGCAAAAATTAGTGTGAAACTAAATTTGGCTTAAAAGTTTAAAGTAAAGTGTAATCTCTTCTAAGTGTTGTGCTTCAAAAAAAGTAATCGCTAAATAACTAGCCAGGGATCCAGTCACAAAAGTGTGAGTGATTTCAAGTTTGTTTAAGGGATTAAGGACAAGTGCTGTTACCTGTATATCAAGAAGTGCCTATTAAACAGTGTGTGGTAGTGCCTAGCTATAAACACTCTTATCTTTCCCGCTAACGCGAGGCCCGTATGCACCCTGAGACAGAATCTCATCGCTCTAGTGCGAATGCAGTAGGTGTCACCTGTAGTTTCTGGTTCATCCCCCATTTTTCCTGAAAAGTAAGCCTTTATAGTAAGGTAACTGACACCCAGCATTCATGTAACCCATATCCCACAAACAATTATCCACAACAACAAAAAGGGAAGAACTGGATAAGAAGGACGCAGCAGCAACCTGCAAACTCGGAGTAACAACAGGTGAGAGGGAATGGCTAGAGCAGCTGCAACCAGCAACCAAGGGGCCAAAAGGACGGTGAGAGAGAAGGTGGAGCCCAACGTGTAAGCAAACGCCTACACAACCTTCCACCTGAGTACTTCCTTGAACACTTTTTCGCCTCATTTCCTGTTCATAATATTTTTGTCACCTTTTTTCCACATAAAAAATGTTTAGACCTTTTCATTTCCACTCTCTCTCATTGCCCCACACATAGCCCCTGTTCCTGTCCTCCATTCCCTAACTCTGTACCTTCCATTTTCCAAGTAGTTTACTTTTCTATCCTGAATATGGAACCAACAAGTTCCTCATAAACGTTGGTACATATTTACCGTACTAAACAGTGTCACATCCCAAAAGACTGTAATCTTCACCACAGATTTCACATCTGTTCTTATTTTTATTTGAGCCTATACCTGATTCATCCCTGCATTGGTGAACAGAAGTGTTTCATCATCAGCGGGTATTGCTGATGATGGCCGTATGAAAATATGGCCTCTCTTCAAAAAAAAATTAATAAATAACTCCCTCACTCTCGTTGCAGTCAGTGAGGTATCGATTTGAGCATCAGACATCTGAAACAATCACATG